AGTGGGCCAAGACTCTTAATTGGGCAGCCATGCAATCTTCAACTACGAAGAAGGTCATAGGCTTGCTATTTCTTATCCTTAGGCTTACAATGTTATCTGTCGCTTTGAATGCTACTTGTCAGTCTTTCTTCCTTTCTGTGTTGAGAGATACTTCATAACTAGAGAGTATGACATAATTAGTATAAGTAGACAAATCATTCTATTAATAAGAAGGGCTACATATAACTGACCAGAAATTGCAATGTTGTTTACTGTGTCCTTCCATGTTTGGAACAGATGTGTATTTCATATCAAATAAAATCATCAGAAAGATCAGTCCTTGTAGTATTCTTTAGTCAATTTATCTCCATTTCAGATTTTTAACTAAATTCTTCCAGGAAGCAAATGGCTTTCATTTCCCAGATACTATTCCCAGAAGTAATGGGACTCATTTCCACAAAGCCAACTGGCATTTTTTACAATCATCTTGAAACTTCATACATTCTCTTTTTTTTAATTAATATTAATGAAAGTTTATAGAGACTTAGGATTTCCATTCATTCATTACCGCACTTTTCTCCCTACCCATCCCTCTCACCAAAACTTCTTACATTCTTAATTAACGGGAGTATTTACCAAAGCTGGTGCTGTGAGCTATCTTCTGCTTTTCTGTGTATTTAACTCGGGAGTAGCTTTATCTGGGGTGGTAATTTTTCATGACTTAAAGCTACCTTTCCATAAAAACTGCAGTTCTAACTGTAATGATATATTCACTTGAGATGACTTGTGGGGAGGAGGGGAGAGTAAAGGGGACTTTAATAATCTTTAGCCATTCTTTGGGGCTACTAATTATTTTACTTTAACTAAAACAGAAGCTTTCTGAATAACCTCTCCTTTATCACTTTACATCATGATAGAATTATCAGGATTAGGCAAATCGTTCCAACAATAAGAAAGGTCACATGCTTATTGGGCTAACAAAATACTTTGTGTTAAAGAATTTAAGAAACTCAGACTTGCTTTAAAGAATTAGGGCAACAATGCTCTTTTTACGACAATATTCAGAAACTTTTAAAAAAATGTATTATTCAAGTGAGTAGGCCCTTTGCTATTGAATTTCCGAGAGAGCCTCTTTAAAAGATTTTTCTTTTATTTTTTTCCCCCTTCTTATGTGCCATCGAGTCAGATCTGACTGGCACAGGAGAATAACACTCCTTCTCCAGCAGACCATCTGGTGGATTTGAACCACACACCTTCAGGATTGCAGCACAGCTTGCCACTAGGCCACGTGGGCTCTCTTTAAAGATTTCAAGTATATTCATTCCATTTACTACAGGCATTTACTCACTGCTGTCCACTCACATCAATGACTCATAGCTGACCCTCCATGGTTATCAAGGCTCTAACCTGCACAGGAGGACACTGCACATCTTTCTCCTGCTGAGCCACTGCTGGTCGGAGAGGCACCACCTTGGGGTGCCCAGTGCACCTCCCAGACTGTACCATCAGAGCTCCCTCGTTCCAAATACAGAAGTCAAAGGAATCCAACCTATTATATTTGGTAATTTCCTACCTCAGTTGGGAGTGAGATACTTCTACGCCTTCTCCTGTCGTGACTGTGTACTGCAGCTGTCTCTCAGGCGTCTATGGAGTCAAGCTAGGATTCCCTATCACATCTGGCAACCATGAAAGTAAAGGCATCATCAAAGCTTCAGATCAGAGAAAGATTAACTAGAGCAGTGATTTTCAAAATTATATTAACTAACAGTAAGAAATTCATCTTATACCAAGCTTTACTGTGTGTGTATATATATATTTACAAAGAATTTAAAGGATTTCTGAAAGCATTACAAACTCTTACTATATGTTTTATAGTAATATTTCCTTCTTTCTATTCATATTGTAAAATACTGGCTATACTTCATTAGACTGATTTCATCATCCACTAATGTGTCTTAACACACCATATGGAAAGAGCGTGGTTACCACTATATGGTTTATGGCCCAAATCAATCAGCACTTGTTGTCTTTTAGTACAATTTTACTAGACAGAGAGTTACACCCATTCATTTACATGTTTCAAGGTCTAAGAGTTGAAAATATTGAGGTATCTTATGGTTGGTAAAACCTAAAATATTTATTATATGATGTTGTTGTGTACGTCAAGTCAGAACTGACCCACGTTTGACCATCCTGCAGGCTTTCAGAGGCAGTAAATTGCACGGAGGAGATTGCCTATCTTTCACTCATGGAACAGCTGATGGATTTGAACCAAAGGTACCTTTGCCCTGGAAGGATAATTCCTCATCGCTAAGCCCAGAATGTGGAACTTATTGAACCTATCATTAATATCACATGCAAGCAAAATATTGCTGAAGATCATCTAAAAAACAGCTAGAACAGTACATTTACAGAAAAATGCCAGAAGTTCAAGCTGGGTTTAGAAGAGGCCATGACAACAGGAGTATCACTGCTGATACCAGACTGATCATGAATGAAAGCAAAGAATACCAGAAGAATGTCTTTTTGTGTTTTATTGACTATGCAAAGGCATTTGACTGTGCATCATAACAAATTGTGGCTAACAATGAGAATAATGGGAATCCCAGAACACTTACTTGTGCTCATGCAAAACCTATACTCAGATCATGAAGCTGTTGTGTGAACTGAGAAAAGGAACACTTGTTGTTGTTGTTTGATGCTGTCGAGTCGTAGACAACTCATAGTGACCCTATGAACGAAAGGCCTGAGCACTGTTTGTACATAGAGTTTCCGGAGGCAAGCCATTTTGGAATTGGATGCCGCTCCTGCTTCCAGGCTTGATTTAGTCGGGAAGCTCCAGCCAACACTGTCCACCATGGGTACCCATTACCA